GGTTGTTTTGTTCAATTAAGATGGATTCCTTAATTTTTCGTTTGTTTATGTTGGGTTCTTTGTTTAAAATGACTGTGTTTTTAATAGATACACTATGGTTTTTGAGTTGCAATGGTGAAAAACATGGTATGGTTTTTTATTGTGTTCTGTCAATCTGGTTTCCAATTCATTACCCATTCAAGCCGTCTCCAACCATTATTCACACACACACATAAGGTTAGTAATAATGATACTATTATTATTATTCAAGTCATTTTGGTATAAAATGTTATTATATTTCAATTTAAAAACAACACTAGATGTACATTACATCAAAATTTGGTTACATTTTCACAAGTTAACAGCCACACCATTTTTTACAAACTTTCATTCTGTATTTTACAAAAGAAAAGAAATTATTATGATAATTATAATTTTTCACTACAGGAACAGAGGTTTGAGAATGAATAAAATGACCGGTTAAAACTTACGCCCATTGTAGATTATGCTGTTATGTACAAGCCACTTTGTGTCAGCTATAAATGATTCTGTACAACCATAACATTTTTCTTTCACTTTCTGAGAAAAAAAAACATCATTAGAATATAAAAATAAAATCTAACAGAGTAATCTTTCTGATCCAACACATCAAATATTTTTGGTAGACTTAATGATCTTTTTCAGTTCATGAGGTAATAGAGTTAAAATTAATTGATGATCAGTAATAAAAATTTGCAACAATTCACACACAGTTACAACTGAAACTCACCATGATAATTTTATGTGATTCATTTTTGTAATACATATGAGGTTTGAAGTTTTGAATTTCGTGCAAAGCTACATAAGGGCTATCTGAGCTAGCCATCCCTAATTTAGCAGTGTAAGACTAGAGGGAAAGCAGATAGTCATCATCACCACCAACCGCCAACTCTTGGGCTACTCTTTTACCAACGAATAGGGGGATTGACCGTCACATTAATATATATATATAAATATATATATTTCTATATTATATATATATATATTAATTATATTGACTTTTCACCCATACCTGGCTAACAATACAGAAGTTACAATGATGCGGCTCACATGCACTCATGTTACCATATCAAATAACATAAAACTGACCTTTGTTCTGTACAAAGTAACTTGTATTGGCTGTGTTTTAGTCAACTAGTATTTTGTAAAATACAGTAACATTTCAATTATTATACATTATATATGTATATAGATTATTGCTATTTTGAAATCAGTTCTTAAACATATTTTCCCTAAAACATAGAACAGTAAATAAAGAAGTAAAGCAAACAATTATCTCTTCTAGTTACGACCTTTGTACTCAGTTGCTACTTGATGTAGGTTGCTAAGCATTTAAAAATTTTGCACTTGGAGGATATGAAACAAAATATCTTTTTTTAGGTTTTATACATACATTTGAATAACTAGGATATCATAAATTACTACATCAATACCAAAGAATTCAACTATAATTTACCAAACTTAGTAACTAAGATGTATTTTACTCTTAAAAAAAAATATGAACTTTTGAGCAGACTAAAGACACAACCTACCTCATTGAAATATTGGTTCAAAAGAAAGAAATGGTGCTAAGACCATTAAAATTGCTGAGAAAACCACAAGGGGACATTATGAGCTTCCAATTGGTTATTCATGTCACATACAGAAGTGAGTGTATATAAGGGAGCATTTCCAAAAATGTAAAGAGGTGGGCGAGGTGCCACTGTGTTTGATTTATTACATGAGCAATATCTTAGCAAATAGAAAAAATAAGACCTTATTTTATATTCTAGCTTGTCAATATCTGTAATTTGAGTTTCTAATTCGTACGAAACTATAGACTTAGTATTTTGACTTCACAAAGATCTAATTTGCACCAGTGCTGCATTCAACATATCACGTAACACACAAAAATCGACGTTTATCTGTGTTTTTTTTATATTTGCTTTTAAATTAAGAAATTGAGTAATGCATAGTTCTAAAATTTGAATTATAATCTACAGTTTGATACCAAACTTATTGACATAAATTCATGAAATAGTAATGCAATAAAATTTTGAATGCTAGTCAACAAACAAGATGACATGGCCTTTCACCTATAACCCGTCTCAAAAGGGTCAATGAGCAATCTACCAATATTTTAATATTCTGGATGACACATTAGCCAATCATACTGATTTCTCTAGCAATTTTTCATAAACTTCATTTTTTCTTATTAATCCTTTTTCCAATTTCATATATTACATGTTACATAATTTTGTTTACATTCAAATGTCATTAACATAAACGTAAAAAGTCCGATGGATTCATTGGCTTGTCAGAAATATACAGATATTCATTGATTACATGGCATGGTCTATCCAACGTGCTTTGTAAATGAACTCAGAGAGTATAAATGCACATACCAGAAACAAAGATTATTAATATCAATGCATCTGAAAGCACCAATAATGTGAATTAGAAAAAGGATGTATTACTGGCTATTGGACCTGTTGTATATTAAGTGGTAAATTATTCACAATGCTTGGTTACACATAATCTACTTTGCATGAGAACATTTAATGGTATTGGGAACTTCAGATGACAACATTTAAAAATGCTTATGTCAGACGAAAGTGCTACTGCAGCATGACAAACCTTCACCTGTTAGGACTGAAAAAGTTCTAGAAATCATCTTAGCAAGAAATTTATAATTATTTTACCACATCCAATGAGAGCACATACGAATAGGTCCCAAATGTGATGTATATACACCACCCCATAATTGCCTAGCACTATTTTGTTAAATAACTTATGTAAAATTGTACTAAGTGCTGAAAGGCATTTCACCCAGCTTTATAACAACAGCCCAACATGAGTCTGGGGGAAGTGAACAATTCAACTATGAATGTGTTGTGCCAACTGTGAACAATTGTGATGAGGAAGTAATAACTGAGCAGCAATCTACACATCAGTTTGTTAGTTTGTTTTGAATGTTGCGCAGAGCTACACGAGGGCTATCTGCGCTAGCCGTCCCTAATTTAGCAGTGTAAGACTAGAGGGAAGGCAGCTAGTCATCACCATCCACCACCAACTCTTGGGCTACTCTTTTACCAATAGATAGTGGGATTGACCATCACATTATAATGCCCCCCTCGAATGAAAGGATGAGCATGTTTGGTGTGATGGGGATTCAAACCTGCAACCCTCAGATTGTGAGTTGAGCGCCCTAACCACCTGGCCATACCAGGCCGTCTACACATCAGAAATGGACCTAAGTGGGGGAGTATCTGCATATCTAAATCTTCATAGATATCTATTTTTTGTGGCAAAAATCTTAGTCAGCTAGCCAAAATGTTTTATCATCATGATGCTTCTTGCAAGTACGACCTATGTCTGGTTTCAAAATAGTAATGAAAAGCTCAACATGAATTCAGACATTAACTTTACAAAGCATCATGGGACCATATGGAAAGGTTAAACTTAAAGCTTCAATCACATCCTTCCAATTGTTGTCAACTGACTGAGATTTTAAACAGGAAATAAGGTGCATCAGATACCTGTTAGAGCCTGGATGAGTGTATGCCTCATAGATTAACAGTGGATGGTCAGGCCTATGATAGCACTACACCACATTAACCCTTTCCCAACTAGTGGATGTTCAAGTCACTCCAAATGCATCCACACTTGTAAATCAACTTTCAAACATTTGTTACTGAAAAAAGTTTGCAAAATTTTATAATTTTTATCTCAATTATTTCATAAATAAAAATTAATATTCTTTAAAAATTTCATTCTTTCATGTGTAGATGTCTGAAGTGGAAATATTGCACTTATAGATTTTCTTTGATTTCTTTTTACAGACTCCTGAACTTGTATTTACTTATGCATATGAGATTTCAATATTTTTGGTTATTTGATGCTTATTTTATCCTTCTTTGAACTTATTGGTTGAACCCGTATTTATTTTACTGCTAGGAGGAGCTTTGATAACTTTGACTGGCCCTCCACTCTGAAAAGTAGGTAGAGATTAAAAATCAATAACGATCAAGGTTAACGATGAGGTTGAATAGGTATGGTAAGCTATGGCCTACAATTACAAACTATTTGGATGACACAAATTTTCTTTTACTGATTAATAAATATGTTGTGTTCAAACATCACACATAGATACAATAACTCTTTACAATAATTTCCTGAAACGGTAATTATTAGATAAGCTGATCTCACCCAAAAAACCTTTGGCAATACATGACAAAGATAACATATTAAAACATATGTCCTTGTTCATTAGTAAATATTTGTATCAGTCATGCTATGTGTATATACAGCAGGAAGACAACTCTCAATTAGCAAAATAAAGTGTCAAAAGAAATAGATTGAGGAACACCAGACATTTCAAAACCGACTGGACAAACAAAATGGAAACTTATAACCATTTTTTTAAAAAACTGTAAGTCTAAGGTGAAAGGAAATATCTTATTGCCATTTTTTCAAAACAATTTAACAACAAACCTTAGAATTTTCACAACCTTAAAAAGTGATTCAAATACTACATTAATGTTATCACTCAGACTAGAAAATTTGCACTAATTTCATGCAAGTTGGCTAAGTATTTTCATTTGTATAATGAAAATAATAACAAGGGATTTCAGTGACACCCTGCAGGTACAGTAAGATTTAGAAGAAGAATTATTAAGACACCTCAACAACATGAGCAGACCCGTATGATATAATGGTGAATGTTTTAATTTTGGCTATTGAGACCTACCTTTTCCAAAATACTTAAATCCATGGGATGAACAATATACTGATAATAATCTGGAAACTCCTGATGAGAAACTGGGTGCAAGAAAGGCTGCAACTATAAGAAACATACAAAATATTTAAAATCAGGTTCCAGTGCTATTGATAAGGCAACACAATTTTCATTCTACATTCTAGAATTAAAAAAATACACAGTACAACAGACATTAATGGTTACATTATACATACACACAAGTCTTACTGCTCTCTGTCTCATTGAATTATGCACCAAACAGGAATTATTTCATTCCTTGAGGAGTGTTGAAAACTGTACTGGAAATATCTGTTTCACAAAGAAGTGGAACTACTAGTATATTAAGTAATAATATAGATTGAAAAAAAAAGAGGCTACAGCTGAAAAATCATCAATAATACAAGTACTAAATGAGTACAAGAAAACACATATTCATATTGAGATAATCACTTCTAAACATGATAAACAACAGATAGAAAAACCTAAATCTCCAAAGGAGACAAAAAAACATAGAATGTGAAATCTGATCATTTTCAATGTAAACAAAAGTTTAAAAAAAGGTGAAGAATTGCACGTAAACCATATAGTACCTCTAATGGTAAAACAATAAAAAGGATTATTGCATGTAAACTATATAGTACCTGTAATGGTAAAACAATAAAAAGGATTATTGCATGTAAACCATGTAGTACCTCTAATGGTAAAACAATAAAAAGGATTATTGCATGTAAACTATATTGTACCTCTAATGGTAAAACAATGAAAAGGTGAAGAATTGCACATAAACTATATAGTACCTCTAATGGTAAAAAAAATGAAAAGGATTATTGCATGTAAACTATATAGTACCTCTAATGGTAAAAAAATAAAAAGGTGAAGAATTGCACGTAAACCATATAGTACCTCTAATGGTAAAATAATGAAAAGGATTATGTCCCAAACAATGATATATATGTATCTAAATATGAAGACAGGGATTCAGAAGAACTCAATTATAGCCTACATTCAAAAAGAAATGAGAAGTTTATGCACCAAAATGATGTTTGAAGAAAAGCAATGAGAAATTATCTGAAACCTTAAAAAGAAAAAATATACAATGATTCATAGTTTTTTCTATCAGCAAAAATGGTGAAAGTTTGGAAAGAGCAAACATTCCACCTGTAACTGAACTCACAGACAAAAAAGAGATGGGTCTAACAAATGCTATATGTAAAACGTAACGTGCAACTCCCAAAGCAGACCTAATTAGGAACACCAAGAACCTGAGGACGTCACCAAGACATCCTACATCATACCATTCCTCTATATGCAACAACCAACAAAGGAGCAAGATTGTCCAGAGTGGTGATGTATGGCCTACCCTTTGAGCACTTGATGGTGAGGGAGAAGCTACAAAATAAAATCAACTGTGCAGCTTTAGGTGATGCAGAGATAAAGGAATAACAACCAATTGAGATTTCTATTAAATAAACATCATATATACTACATTTACTAGAAATAAAAATACTACTTACTTACAATGTAAAATTAATTACTGAACAGGGATTCTTGGTATTAATTCCACTTACTTCCTTTTTTACAATCTTTTACAGTACTGTAAAATAAAATAACTGTAGCAACTATTAAAAAAAATCACTTACAGCAATACCCTTTATCCTCTGCACAATATGCTTCAACAAGACACAAAATTCAGGGATGGTCAGAAGGTTAAGAGCCGGAGAACGAGTGTCAGTTTCCTCTGCAACCATTATAGTACAACACTCTGGACAGACCCAACTGTCTGACAGTTGTCGATTTGGCATACATTGTAAATGATACCCACGAGCACACATTTGACAGTTGGTAGAAACTTTATCTCTATGACATACCCAACAGAATGCATCTTTTCCTGGCTCCTATAAAATATACAAAACTTACTATTTGGGTGAGAACAATACAAAGATGCATTTTTTTTTTCAATGGATTCATAAAACACCTAAATATGGAAATTAGATATTTGTAAAGAAAAGAATATTAAAGTTAAAACAACTGTTTGGACAGAAATGAAATATATTTGAAGTATTTAATATACCAGTATATATCAAAAATATATAACAATTATATGACATTGATTCATCATATTGCTAACAGAGCATTTTCAGCTGAACCTGTACAATTTTTACAAATTTGGAGTTCGCATCATGAAAGTATGTTTAAAACAAACAAATGTCATAAAATTGTTTAAGAGGTAGCAAAAAGTCCATTAACACATTTACTATTAACTGCTGCTACAACTTCTATGCAGGTAATTTATTTTCTAATGTCGAATAGCATCATTAACATAATTTTTATGCATCACATTGTAAAAAAAAGGCTTTAACTTAAGCCAACATTCATGCATCTACTGATTAAATTATATCAATAATCTAAATTTTTGTTCTTTACTGACATAGTAAAAAACAACGATGTCAAGCCACACACTGCATCCTTTCACTAAAATATATGAACTTGCCACGTAACCACAGTATATTCAGAATAAAAGTACTTCAATGTTACGTTATAACATAGCAACCTGATATAACAATGTGATTAAACATCATACAAAAATATGTTAAACTAACAAATAATTCAGTGTTATAAAACAATAACTTAATATAACAAAGTAATTAAGTTTTATAATATAACAATTATTTGGTATAACAATAACTTTCCTTCGATAATTTCAGTACAGATTGATTTAAATATATTAAGGTGTAATATTAAAAGATTTAAAATATTCCAAAAAATGCCCAATGAGGATTTACTAAAACATTTAATTTCAGAAAACTTGAATACTGGTATGTTCCTCAGGAACATATTGGGCTTTTTATCTTTACAACTATTATTACAAGGATTTACCTTGTTTAATGTATGTGGCTGAGCAGAAGTCTCTATAAGAGCTTCATTTTGAGTTCCATGTTTTTGTGACTGCAAGCTTGTATCTAGATTCAAATACAAGTTCAAGCATTAATATTTTGAAAAAAAATACTTGAGAATTTAATTTACATGTCAAATCCTTCAGTCAAATTTAACTAAACTGTTCATTTTATATTCAAAAATTAATTCTTATGATGGGTTTTAATTATTCAACATATATTACAGAAAAATAAAATAAATCTACAAAATGTGGCAAAAAAAAGTACTTTGACATCCTTGCTGAGTCCAGATATTTTCTTTGCAATTACTCCAAACCCTGAATACATATAAAGATAAATTTTATGAAATTGGAGGAAAAATCCAGTGGATTTTTGGATGTAAGCAGAGAAGTTTGTTGAATTGTAAGCATAGCTACATGAAGGCTCTCTGCACTAGCCGTCCCTAATTTTGGAGTGATAAATTAGAGGGAAGGTAACTAATCAACAACACCCACCACTAATTCTTAGGCTACTCTTTATCAACAAATAGTGGTATTGACTGTCACATTATAATGCCTCCACTGCTGAAAGGGTGAAGATGATCAGTGGTGAGATTCAAACCCACAACTCACAGACTGTAAGTCGAATGCCCCATAAGCAAAGAAGAAAATTGACACTATATTTAAATCTGGTAAAGGAAAATGATTCAAATTATTTTTCTATGATACGTTATGATCTTTATCCAACAGTTTATACACAATACTCTGCCATATCAATCTCAAAGCCTCCGTTAATGGTTCTTCATCTAATAAGTAAGAAACTTCCTAAGTCAAAATTTTTAATTTTTTTATCCTTTACCCTGATCAAACTGTTCATACTAAATTATAATTATTAACTTCCAGCTCTTTACTAATTAAAGCAAAATAAAGAGGCATTATATTGCGCATTGTTTCCAAAATGAGCTCAACTCACTTGAAAAAAGTCATTACTGTTAAACTCTTTACCAGTTCAGAGACGGAAGACAAAAAAGATTATGCATATTTAATGAAAAAATAAAAAAGGACAGGAGAGTACACATCTTCAAACAAACTAATAAGTTGAACTGCAAGAAGTGCATTAAACTTAACTGAAGAAGACTTAAAAACTTTCTAGAAAACTTCCAGAAAAACTAATAACCAACAAAATCTAACTGCAATCCAAGACATAATCATAGAGATAAAATGTTTTAGAATATCAACTCATACATGTAACTAATAAGTATTTACTTGTCCAACATAAAATTTCTCACACATTAATAACTGGTGAATAAAATATTTAACTGCAAAATACGTATTTATAATTTTCAGTTTTTTTTTAAATCAATAAAACAAGTGAGCATTTCATAATAATGTTGTTCTTGTTTTCCTTATCATTGCTTATCAAGTTCATTACAGCAACTTTATATTTATAAATATTAGTGTAGCTTTGCTCATTCTTGATCAAAAGTCATGCTCTATCATTAGCCACTAGCAGAGACCCACAAAACATTTGTGGCCAATTTGGTATCTTTATTTCAACAGTACTTCTTTAAATACAGAATTTCTAGAGTAATATAAAAGAATTCTAATCACAGACACTGAAATCTGTAAGTCCACTTGTCTTAGTCCTAACATTAGTTAAGCCTTTATTAAGTACGGCCTATATTCGATAAAGAGATAAATTAACACTGTAACTTGTGTACATTTTCTGGTTTAGTTCAGTTAGGGCTAAAACCTTACTGCCCTTAATACTACCAATAAATAAACTTATATTATTATTCTATGACCTAACTTTTTTAATATGTTGTATAAAATGTCTACTAAAGTATATATATATATATCCTTCCTGGCGTATCTCGATGATTCAACAAAGATACATTTTCAAATTGTGTAAAAGATGCAATTTCTTGTACATTTTTGTACAAATATATCTTTCATTTTTGATCAATCATAAACTACTCACTTCTAGTTGACAGAAAGCCAAACTACTTAAATTACGTAATAAGTTGCTATGACATCAGTGCGTGACCAAAAGACAGACAGACAGATACACACTGTGTTTTATAGTATTAGATTACTTAGGCTAATTTAATTTTAACAGCTTTACATTGCCACAAAGTTTGTATGTGTTTGTTTTCTGTGAAACCTTTTACAAAGAATCGAAAATCAGAGGCAAGTAATGAATAATCGTATTTTCACTGGTAGTATCTAATTTGGTTCAGTTGGGAATTTTTTCTATCTATGCTCGTACTCAATTTATTCATTATTTTTCTGGTTTACAATCATCATAAAATCTCTAAGCACATAGTGGTTGTTGCGATGGAATAACAGTTGGCACTGAATCTAAAACAAATTTTAGATCGGTTTCTATACAGACAAAAATTAATATTTATCTAAAATAATGATTACACATCACATACAATTGAAACAGTCATCTATTTGTTAAATTCTAACATCTCTGATTCCACTATTTCTCTTCTGAAAACAACATATGCACAAAGGTAAGAAATAACAGGAATGAAAACCTTAACATAAAAAACGAATTATCTCCTATCCCAACAATATTTGCATCTAGTTTTTTTTTATTTACTAATTAAAAAATAGGTTATTTTTAAAGAAATATTTAATATAAAACTACGGAGGTTATCATTTCATTGTTCAGATCACTGGTTAAATCCCTTTTGGAGTAATGTGTTCAGTTTTTGGCTTCTTACCTTAAGAAGGACATTGAATTGTTGAAAAGTGTTCAAAGAAGGGCTACTAGAATGATACCTGGGATAGAAAGGTTGTTGTATGAGGACAAGTTAAGATCTCTAGAAATTAATAAAAAGAAGTGTCATAGGAGATTTGATTGAATGTTCAAGATTTTTAAGGGAATTGATAATATTGAGGCATCATCTTTTTTCATATTTAATAGTCAAAATGGTACAAAAATAAATTTTGGAAGAGTCGTCTTCAGTTTAGACAATTCTACTTTTCTAACATGGTGGTTGGTCTTTGGAATGGACTGCCTTCAAAAGATGGTGGATGCAATACGTTTATGGGAAAGCTCAACAAACATTTAAATAATCATGGCTGTGGATCAGACAGCTACAATGGACCAACAGGACCATTTCTGTCTCTTAAATGTTATGTTAAACTACTTAACCCTTACCAGGCAGGTCACGGGAGAAAGAACTTGTCATCTCGTTTGTTGACTCACATTCAAAATTTTATTGAACTGCTATTTCATGAATTTATGTCAATAAGTTTGGTATC